ATCTATCTGTACTGACAGATATAAATAAGGCCACCAGCACTGCATTTTTTTAACTAAATCTCAAAGCTGCAACAAAGTCGTAAGTAAAGAGTGAAGTACCTACCTCACATTTTCAAGTATTCAATTCCCACAGTTAGTCATACAAGAGTATAGGAAATTTGATGATAAAAATAAATCATAAATCACATCTAAAAGCATTCTCTCCCTTAGGTTACTATTTCTTTTTTAGCATAGATTTTTTTCCACTAATCGCCTAAATAATTCAAACAGATTTTATACTTAGTGGCAAAAAATTATAATCTTCCATAAATAAAGCATATTCCTTGCAAGGAAGTTTCACTTACAGTAAATCAACTTCCTTCATTCTTTTTACAATAAATTTGAAATGTTGCTGTTGGCCCTAGAATTAGATAGGCCAATTATACTTTTTCACATGCAGAATCTCACTCCCCTTCTGTGTGTACAATTGTCACAATTCTGAACTTGGTTAAGGACAGATTATATGCTATTAGGAATGTTAAAAATATTGCCACACTGACCAATTTTTTAAAACTTGGTTAGGAGCCCACCATAGAAAATTTATTATTCTTCCATGCAAACTTTACGCTAAGCGGTGAGAGCCTTCTCCAGAAAACAGTTTAAATATATTCCTGATATGTGATGTTTCCCACAGGAGACACCAATTACGTAGTCACTCAAGAACAACTAGCCTGAATTAGTCTCCTGACTTGCCCATTTCTGCACAAACCTAATCTTGTCAGTCTCACGGTATTCTAATTATAAGGCTTCTGTTCCAAAACAACCTGGCTATGAAAACTGTAGAGTCCTAATGTCATCTTTTGCATCTGTTTGAGCGTTTATTGTCAAAGGGACCAAATGCTGTCTCACTGAGTTTGATACTGAGGTAGGTTGGCTTCAGTGGCATACAGAACAGGCTCAAACCCAGTAATGATCACAGACCTGCAAGCCTGGAAATTAGGATCTGAGTACCATCATTGTCATCACTACCAGGACCACTCTCAAGTTAGGAGAGCGAGACACTAGCTCTGTATAGATAAGAACAAAACTTCCTTGGTCTTCAGCAGGGCCTGAATGCTACCAATTCTGTATCCTGACTGTCTTCTGTGTGACTTCTCAGAGGTATCTCCCTTTCCCATGTACATAATCTATATTTCTCTCAGAAACAGCAGAGACCATCACCTTTACATACTTGTTTAATAAAGTGCACACAGCGGCTTTTTACCTCCTTAGAAATCAGGTTGAAATTAAGCAATATGCTTACTATTCCTTTGCTGAAAGCAACAGAAAAGATAAATTTTCCAATAGAATAATCTAGCCTAAAGCAATTGCAAATATTAAGATATAGCTTCAAAAACTTAAATTATGACATGAAATGTAATTGCTTACTGAACATTTTAGAAAACTACAAAGTCCCTAAAAAGCGTTCCTCTTGTTCAGTGTGTAAGTTTTGCTAACGTTTGCACACATAAAACCACATACATATGAAATGCACTTAAATGTATACAGTGCCTCAAAAAGACACCTTTATATATAGTTTTGAGGAGTTTTGCTTTTGCTGAATATAGAAAATGTGCCATTCAGTTGCCACTAATAATATAATTTTTTGTGTTCCTCTCAACCCCCCCCAAAATCTATTTCTAGATAATAAAGGACCACAGACCAAACTAATTAAAAATCACATGTCATGTGCATTTGCTGAATAATTTTTCCAACATATATATCATGAATAACTTGCTGGCATAAGGCTTCTCCCTGTCATCCATCCCTTTTCACAGTATAAAATGTTACAAACCAGAAAGTCTAAGAATTTTAAAAAGCATATTCAAAACCACAACAGGATAATAAAGTGAGATATAGTTGCACAATAAATGCGTAATAATAAGCTGCCTTAAAGATTAGCAGCCACTATGAAAGGATAAATAGCTTTGTTTAGCACCACTACTTTAGAAAAAAGAAAAATTACTCTGTTATTGATAGTAGTTAGATTATCTCTTGATTTAATAATTTCACACAAAAAAGGTGAAGAATGTGACATTATTATACACCTCAGATTTTACCACTGTTCAATACTCTTCGTTCAACGAAAGAGGAAGGTTTAAATACCTGTATGAAACTACTTTTTGCCAAAAAATGTTAAAGGTATCAAGTGTTTCAAGTGTCCATGGAGCAGCCCTATGAGTTCCTTAGGACTTTCTAAATCATGAACTTCTTCCCTGTAAGTCAGTCAGTCATGTAATGCTGAGACACAGTTACCAGGAAAGAAATCATCCTTGGGAGTCATATAAACTGCCTGCCCACATTTCAGACGGCAAAAGTTAAGCAAGAGGCAAGAGGAATCCCATTGAAGGCGTCTTTTCTTTTTTAATTTTGTATTTTGGCTTCTGTCTAAATGGAAGCTTTTATTTACTCAATAACAGCTTAAAAATAAAAAGCTGAATCCCTTTCAAAAAATATTTGTTTTGATGGAAAAAAAATTAAATTAAATGACTGCTATGAAATAAATGTTGCTAAGTCCATCACAGAGATTTCATATCAATGTATACTTGTATATATTGGGCATATGCCCATCAATTTGTGGAAAACCTGTTTTTCAGATGCAGTAATTTTTCTTGGAAGGGGATATTTTACGCTAATTTACTAATATTACTTCAAAACAGCAACAAATTCAATTAGTGTTATAAAATAATTTGTTTCTAAGTCCTGGAGCTCCTTGTTTTGCTAGCAGCTCAGAATACAAGATTTATTTGCAACAGAGGACAGAAAACTTCCATGAAGAAGAAAGCTCTTAGAAGTAGGGACCTTTCTCTGTCCTTAAAGGCTTTAATAAAAAATCTATGGATAGAGAAAATCATATTCTCTCCAGCAGTAGAGAAGTGTATGGTGACAAACATCAAACTTCTGTATATGCGAAAGCAAACAGAAAAATACTTGTTTTCTGTTTACACATAGGAAATAAAAGTGATGGTATCAATCTTGGTGTAATTACTATTTACATAGAAACATTTTGCAGTTGAAACATAGTCATGAATAGAAATTTAATCAAAGAATGAAATTATTTTAAACTTCCAGCATTACTGTAGAAGGTCTAAACACACTGATGGAAAACGAAATTCTGTTAAACCAGCCATAGCTGTCACTTTACAAAGGTATGAATGCCAGGGTTCTTGACATGGAATGGTTGCCTTTCCTTGTAATGAAGTATATTCAAATGTAGCAAAGTAGAAAAGGAGAAAAAGGCACTGAAGGACCATGAGATCTTGGGGAATTATAATGAATAGAAAGCTTTATAAAAAATTCATCCTCTCTTTGCCTGTCATTCCTGAACAGACAAAGGACTAGTGTGAAATTGCTGGCTTCCAAATAGTAAACAACTGCTTTGCCCCAAGCTTTTTTTGACAAATAGAATTCGTTGCAATAGTGGTGACCTATAAAGGAACACAGTAACTATTTTTCAATTGAAAATTGACCATGGATAAATTAGAAAAGCAGGAAATGTTTCAGTTCTTTTACTAAATTATAAACAAAAACCAATGAAGCTGGCTAAGCCTTTAATTCTGCTGATTAAAGCAGCGGACACTTCTAGACCTATGTTCAAAATGTCTTCCTTATGATAGGAAAAAACATTTAATTTCTTAATAACAATATGTTATTGCCTCTTATGCAGTATTAAATATCCTTCAGAAAGCAGAAGTTTGATTTCAGAAAATGTTGAGTGGCAAACTCTTCTAGGATCACACCACAGGTCTCTTGATTATATGTTAATACTAAACTTCGCGGAGAAAGCATTAAAAGATATTAATTTTCAGTAGCAGAGAAAAAAATGCATTTCAAACTCTAATGCTCAAGGCAAGCACAAGTGTATCTTTTTTATTTAATAAAATGAAGTAGATAAAATGGCATTAGCACCACTTTCTTATAAACATATTTTTACATTTTCCTATATGATTTAACTTCATTCCGAGTTTCAAGATAAAGATTTCTACTGGGCTGAAGTGTAAAAAGTTTCTTCAACTGACAGAGAAATATGTTTATTATAAACATGAAAGTGTAATTTAGATATGAATAGACTCAAACCCCAAAGTTTCATTACCATAGTCTGATATTTGTAATTCATCTAAGATCATTGATTTATCACATTCTAGACAGATAATTATTCAGTAAATACGCAAAAATACTTAAACAAGCAAATAATAAATCAAAGTATTAAACACAACACAGCAATATCTAAACCCCTGCATTAAGAACTACACTTTACATAGTCCTAGATGTGAATGGCTTTTTTTTTAACTTCCTCAATAAAGTATATGTTGCTAATATGCTTTCATTTACCTTCTCAAAATAATGTTTTCAGCTTCAGTCTGAAAGGAATATAATTCAGCAATTAAAGATTCTCTTGAGGGCTTTGCTTTCCTAAAACTAAATAATAAAATGACCACTTAAAAAACCCAACTAGATTAAGGACATTTCTTTCCCCTTTCAAAAAACATTCAAATAGAATTAAGTACTCAAACCCAGAAAGGATGGGGATGCAAAGAGTTTATAACAAATTAAATTGTTAATTGTGCCTTCATGTATTTTGCTAATTTGAAACTGTTCATTTTGATGTCGAACTGGGTAGGTGAGGAAAACATGAAAATAACCAGTGTATTAACCCTATGGTGTGCTGTCTTCTATTTTACAAAGGGCAGTACTCTCAGTAACAAAATGAAAGAATATCTCAAAATTAATTGAAATTTGAATTAAATTTAACTGAGAATGTTCTCTGCTCCCATTCTAGGTTTACTCCCAAGATATGCAAGCTCAATACCAAACAAGCACTTAATATTTTCCTATATCGATTGCAAAAATAGCTAAGAAAAAAAGGAAAAAACAGTCTTTTGTATTTTGAAAGTAGCCTAATTTTTCTGCAAAAACTTGTATTTTTTTCAACAGAAAAATAAAAAGCTTCTACACCTGAGAAAATTAATTTTTTAACCTACCTCGACTGCATATCTTGGTGTGTTTTGGACTGGCTGCTCTCAGCTGGAGGTGAAGGGACTTGCTGTTGTAGCTCCACCAAAGACTGGTAGTACTGTTGCTGATGATGTTGCTGCTGTTTGTACCGAGACAAACTGAAAAACAGCCCTAAAATGGCTTTCAAATTTCCATTCCTTATTTCTATTAAAAAGAAAAAAAAAAGACAAAGAAGTGAAAAATACTGTGGTTTTAGATTTCCGTTTTGTAAATTTTTTATAATAAAATATCTCTGTACATACCTATAGCTATGCAATGTTTATACCTTGCATCTCTTCATCTCTCTCTAATATCAGGGGACATTGATGGGTCACATATGCATGGCCATAAAGTAGACCAAACACCTCTTCCTCAGTACAGTATCAATATTCTCAGTAAGCAGAGGGGCATTCAGAAAAATCTGAATTCTTTCTGGCCTTAGGTACATATCCAGTCTACCCCATGGCTTTCAATTATTCTTCTTGCTTTTGGGACAAATTGTGTGCACACTGGGAGTAAACAGTGAGTTCCAGATAAATCAGAATGAGGAGATGGTAACAGTCTTGTGGATGAGCATACATCCACTCACAATAAGTTTTAAAAAAACATTAGAGAAGGAGATTAATGGAAAATATCTATTCAAAGGAGTGATTGTAAGGTTCATAATTACATCTTTGAATTTTTTTACACTGCTACTATTGATTAATGAAGACTTCAAAACTACAGCTTTCACATGAGGCTAAAATAGCTACCCATATGAAATTCTGGTGAGCCACAGCAGCATCCTCACGTCTCCCATTCCTTTCATAGCCCTTCTCCAGTCTGAGATGAAGATTTTAGAAGGATAATGTTATTCTTTGCTCATAAAGGATCTTTGTGTCCAAAAAAGAAGCCTCAAGAGGCTTTAATGAAATTATCTGCAGCACTTAGGTCTGTTCCTAACCTCATTGTTAATTTTCTTTGGCATTAAACTTCTTGTGAAAGGTTTTCATTAGGTCTATATCATTTTGGTTAAAAAGCTATAACATGCAACACTGCAATCTTTTTGCTTTCGCTGCAGATCTAAATACTGAGCTGTATGTGCTACACAGCCTTTCTCAGTATAATTTTAAAAGCAGAATTTATACATAATGACTGTCATATTCATGTCCTTTAAATCATACGTATTTTCTTTCAATAGGATTAGGTGAAATGTTAGTACAAATATTAACAAGCTAGCAAACACCGGAGCCCTTTCACTCTCAACCTGTTCTTCAAAAGCAAACACAATCCTGGACACTTGAATATTCTTTGCAAAATGAAAGTTTGTTCTAACTATCCATACTTTGTCATCGTCCCTGTAAAGATTCTGCAGGATCTGTGATTCCCCTGGAGGCGCAAGAGATACACTGAAAAACTTTCTCAGAAATAGAAAACTTTTTAAGCAGCTGTGACTTTTGCAGTCACATTGGTTTCAAGGAAGATCATTACCAAGGAACATAGAAAACTTACATTTAAAAATATCTTTAAAAAACCCACAAGAAAACACATAACTATTCCTCTTTAAGCTGTTCTGATTCTAAAAGTTTTTCTGTATGTGATACCAGTTTATTTAATCTTACAATTTTGCATCACTTAACGTTCAGAAAAAGAACCCTTTCTTAAATCCCACTCAGCATTTTTTATCTTAAAATTACACTCTTTTTCGTGTTAGACGATATTTTCTGCTATTTCTAAAGAAGACTGTTTTCCAGTTTTGAATTTCTTTTTCTTTCCTGGTTTAAACAAGTTGGAAAATGTCTCTCAAACAGAAAAAAAACAGGAAGTTCTAATATGTACTAAACACTATTAGGGAGAAGAAGGGGAATGTTTCTCTTTGTAGCAACTGGCTTATTTGTCATTTGGGTTCTCCAGTAGAGATTCTGCACTCAAGATCTGAAAATTACTTTTGATCTAGACCTCCTTGCTCAAGTGCCAAAATGAGGTAGGAAACTGGTTGTGAAATCTTCAGTCTTGTTAGGCTTATAGTTTACTGTTCCAGAAACTGCCTGATCATTAATAAATGACCCAGCAGTGACAAGAAACAGACTGACGGTTTCTAAACTTAATTGATTTTAAACACAAAAGTGCTGACAAAACCTTATAAAGGTAACTTGACAATTTTATGACAAAAAAGTGCCTGTTTTTCTCAACTTCTCCTCAAGAAAATTGTAATATGCAGGATTACAGATTTTTTAAAATGGTATATTTAAGCAAATCTCACTTTTGTGATACTCTGAACTAAATTAATTACAAACATATTAGCAGATTTAAAGTAGATACATGACCAAATGCAAAACAGCATAACTAATTTTACTTCAGTACTCAAGGTCTGCCTTATTAAAATTCTATTTTAAAGATTGTTGAAAGCTTAAAAAAACAGTCCTTACATTTAACACTGTGTAGTATTATTGATTTAGTAGAATTTGAACTTAGTGCCACATATCTGAAGCTTATATTCTAGCAAAAAAAAATGGTTTTCCAAAAAAAAGTTATGAATAAATTACTGTATTACATAATGCATTCAGATTTTGATTTGACAAGGTACAGAAACAAAGTGTCATCTGCTGTGTCATGGTATTAAACAATGAAGCATTCTCATGAAATAAACTGATGCTCTACACACATTTGATTGTTATTTCATATGCAGGTAAAAGTAGGCTGCACTAAAAAATTCAAGTTCTAAACAGCTGTGAGATGAATGGTAACATGTAACTATTCTGTGTTCTCATGCATCAACATATCTACAGTATATGCAGATGTGTTTTTAAATCAGTTAAGGAGCTTTCCATAAGTAGACAATCAAGGTGAGTGGATACTATACAGAGGACAGGCTGTGTTACAGTTCTGCTAAGGTACTAGAAAGGTGGAAATGGTAAAAGATAATAATTCCAAGTTAATTTTAAAATACAACAGTGGTTAGCATTAACAATTTTTTCTCTCAATATATTCTAAAATTCAATTGAAATTACCATCTCTGGAAAAAATTTATTTTTCCCTCTATATTTTTTGTTGTGCTATGAGGAAAGCAAATATATAGCATTGTGTCTTGTTAATACCTGTTGCCTTCAGCTGTCATGGAAGTCAGAAGGATTTTGAAGGTGCACAGCCCCTTGCAGAACTACTCAGTTACAGGACAAATCTTTGTATACATTTTTCTTAATTTACAAGTTCAAGTATCCTCTTGACTTAATTTTACATTAATAAGGCAAATAATAAATGCTAATTAAGATAATTGGTATTTTAATGGTTTTGATTTAATACGTTTATTAACTTAGTTGTAGCTGTATTAGGCAGTAACTTGAGGTGACTAATATACCAAAAAAGGACTATAAACAACAAGATCATTCATTCTTTCTCTTAATATATGACATCAAAAGAATACAATAATTTTCAGACTCATCCTGACAGCATTACTACTAACAATAACTTTGCTTAAACAAATAATCTTCTCTGAGTTTACTTAACTGAGCAAGACTCTCATACTCATTTTTGTTATAACAATCCCACATACAAACAAGTTTAAAAGTACGCTTGGGAAGCCCTGTACCTATATAATATCGTGGGTGGTAACATGAAAAGATTAAAACGATTGAAAAAAATATTATTTTTATATCTCTCAGGCTTCATAAACATTGAATTTATTAGTTCAATCTCAAGATAAAATTCAAAAGAAATCTAAACTTCTCTCTCATTTGCTATCACTAATATGCTTTGCATGATCTTTGGGACAGCTGAGCTTGGTATTTAGGTGTAAATAATTTGCATTAAGAAAATCAATTATCGGGGAAAAAAATCCTATTATTTGTTCTGATGATCTGTTTCTCTTACCTTCTGCAGAAAGACCTTGCACATTTACGCCTCTGGCTGCCAGGAAGCTGAGGCAGACATCAACATTCTCAATCTGCAATATGAACAGAAATAACAAGCAGCATAAGACTATTTGACAAAATGTAGAAATGCAGGGGGAAAAAAAAAAGAAACAGCTCAGGAATGAATACTTTACATTCATTGCATACTGCAGCTCTTTACCAAAGTTTAACAAGAATGATTACTGCTAATTGGGGAATTGATATAAAGCTTTCATTGTCCGCTTTGGTGCTTAAAAACAATTCATAAATGCTCGATCCAGAATGGCATGCTGGCAAATCAGCAACCCACCTACTTAACATAAAACTGGATTTTATAAGCTACAAACAAGCAGCAATGAAAGCATCCACAGTGGAACAGACACTGAGTATATGGCTGGAGATGTGGTTGACTGAGTTAACTAAAAAATGTAAGCAAAAACCTCCAACAAATGTATTAGCAAAGGTATTTTCTTAGGATGATGTAGAATTTTGTGAAAAATGAAGTCACAACAATGGTTTGTTCTCCATTTTTTCCCTTCAAATCTTATGCTAAATACTTTTAATTTATTTGATGTTCATGCTTCTTGGAAGAGTGCTCGCCTAGTGAAGGACATGGTGGTGACGTCTACCGGTGGTTTAGAAGAAATCTGCTGTTACCACAGAGAGCTTTAGATAAGAGAAGAACATATAGCCTAAATGTAGATTAATAAAAGCATAAAAACTCCGCCTCTAAAACATGTAATGACAGAATCGATTTGACTCCTCTCCTGTGTCTATTTCTAGTAGATTAGGGAGTCAGAATGTTCCAAAAGGTTCTTCTGAGTCACCATACCCAGGCCTCCCAGGATTAATGAAGTAAACATGCAACTATAAATGTACAGTATTTTATCTCACAGGTTTGTATTGAAATATGCTGCTATGAGAGCAGAAAAAATGCTAGAGAGGTGTTCTTTGTCAAATGCCTTCAACAGACTTGATTCTAAACTGCATTTTTCATTACTATTACTTTTCTCAAGGCAATTAAGACCACAGAAATATAATCCTGCAGTAGATCATGTCCATGCAGTTAATTTTATTTGAATGTTTACACATTTTACAATGCCTCATATCAAGAGTTTTCAGTCATCAAAATATGAGGGGTAAATTTATTCCTTGAATAAAAGCCACTTAATCCTTGGCAGTATCTTTTCTTGCCTAGCACGAGGGCCTTTTCTTATTGTCATCTTTCTATGATTGCAGTTCAGCCATTATTCTCGGAATGTGATATTAGCTAGAAGGAATATAAATATAGTTTTTACTACTGACCCTAGAAGTATGTATTATAAGATCATAGAATGGCCTAGGCTGGAAGGAACCTTAGAGATAATTTTTAATCCAGCCTCCCTACCCCCAGGGATGTCACCTCTCAACTAGATCAGGCAACACATGGGGACCGAACAGGAATTATGAACACACAGACCCTCTTGATCCACAGGTAGTACTTAGAGACTTAGAAGCACCTGCAAAATTTTGAGACGCGCGCTTTTTAAACTCCAAAGTGTTAGCAAAAACATCTTCAGAAAACTCTTTTCAAACACTTCTTTTAAAGGACATGCTACCATTTATAGGGCATGATAAATAATCTCTCTCCTGAATTCATTAAAAAAACCAAAACCCCAAACCCTGCAGCTAACACTAACTAAAGTTACTCCAAAACCATAAAGCTTTCATAAATCATTTTGGAGAGTGTCACCAATTTACACAGCTGTGAATGTGGAAAAACCATCCTAAAATCAAAGGGGTTACTCCAGCTCTGTTCCAGCACAGTAACTGCAGAAATTCAGGCATTAACTCTGTTGTTTTCTTAAATGTTTATGTAGTTTTACACCATGAAAACCCCCAAACTAACTGGGTCATTTCGTAAGGTATAGAGATGTGACCCAACTAAGTCAGTTGCCAGCTGGCTGCCACTAAAATAGGAAGTCCTGCTTCTTCCTCACCTCCTCTTCCTCCCAGGTGTGGGGCCCTGCCGCTGCTGCCTTTGCTGGGCTTCAGTGCTCCTCCAAGCGCCCCAGGATCTGGCTCCGCACCGAAAACTCGCCCAGTGAAAAAGGCAAAGGTGTTTTAGTCACTCCAGTTTCCCGTGCAGTCAGATGAGCACAGGAGTCAGCAGCGGGGAGGGTGCGTCCCAGCCTGAGTAAGGCATGGATTTGGGAGAGGACAAGGGAGGTGGGAGGGAGGGACAACCAGATGGTGCTACTCCTGATGCCAACGGCAAGGCACCGGGCTGGCTCAGCCCTGACCTCCAACTACACTCCTGTCTCAGTCGTGAAAATACTGCACATGATGAGAGTATTTCTACTTGACCTTTAAACAATGTCAGCTGCATAAGAGAACAATCAGAATGGAAATTTTCCTGTCCTGAAGAATTAAAGAAATAGAGATTTGTTTGGATATTAGCTGTATAGGTGAGTGTCGCTTTGAACTTTTAAATCAGCTGTAATGCAGAATCAACTACTTCAAAGATGGGAAATTTTGCTCTACAAGTACTGGAAGCCAAAAAAACCAGAAAAAAAGCAAAATAAAAAAAGAAGAAAAATCAGACTGATGTCAGTAGCACTCATTTCCAAATAACTGAAACAATATTTTCTAGCAGACCTGCTAGTATAACCAAGACATTTTTTCATAATGGGCGTGTATCCTCAGCAATAGTTCAGGAGACCATAGCTTTAAACAAAACCCAATTTATTAGAGAACATTTAAGTCCTAATGTGCTCAGAAAACATCTCAATATCTGTTTGCAATAATAAATATTCAATATATAGTAAGCCTGATACATAAACCTTGACATAAATTGAAGGCGAAAAAATCCTGTAGAACAGCACCTTGTTGCTTTATGAGTCTGCTTCTACAGTATGTGTCTTTGGAGTCACATCTCCCAAACTCTCAGACACAGCTAGTCATTACCATTAACACCAATGACTCAATATACTGCAGAACTACAAAGCAAATTCTGTTTTCCCTCCTAGTTCTTTCTGTAATAGCAGCCCTTGGTCCAAAGTCATCCCTCTTGGTGATGGTGTATGAAGTAATAGCAGTGGACAACTTTCAGGCAATGGACTGCGGTTGCACTGTTAGCCTTATAATAAAGTCTTGTTTTGACTTGTGAATTGAGCAAGTTTCATGTGGCAACTCACAGCCACATAATACACTGAAAATGTCAGAACATGACTCTTACAGTCAGTTTTCTGATAATAACTGCAGTTACTATACAACTCTCAGAAACTGTTAGGAAATTCAATGAGACATGCATTAATGCATTCTTGGCTTATTTTTACTTTCTTTCCTCTCCAGTCTAGAAGATGTTAGCCTTAAAATTGTCTCATTTTGTAGCTTACAGTGTGTCTCTAAACATTGCTTTAATTACCTACTTCTTGCCTTGGCAAGCCACAGTTTTTCTTTGAACTCAAACCCTAGCAGTCTCAAACACTTTTTATTCAAACTGACTAACAGATGAGATTAATTTTGCAATTACAAAAGTTCTAAGAGATGTCAAGCAGCTTCCACTCCTCAATACTGTTTCAATCAGGAGTGGTATGAATCCCTGAAGCCCATGTTTATTTAAGTAGTTAGTGGTGGAGTGGTTACACACTGGGGTAAACTCTTCCTAGAGCTGACACTGCATGTGTAGAACTCTACCTGCTTATATATTAAGGACTGAAGATTTTGCAGTGTAACACTTGACATATGCACCAGACAAATTTTGTAACTTACATATGTCCACAATTTTGTAGTGAATTTTTCAAGCAGAAAGCACCAGCTTATGAAAGAGCTGATGTTCCTCATTAGTGTGAATAGTATCACCAGAATTACAAAGTGAGGTTGCAGAAGGAAGTTGATTACAGTACAGCATTCAGGATATACAGATATATATATTCAGGATATACAGATTGACTCCAAATCTTACATAACAAGACACAGAAAGTGACTTGATTGTGCAAAGAGTCTTCGACAGGGGCATGTTGCCAAGATCAGACTGTTGCTGAACAGCTCTCTATCAGTGTAAACTCGCAAAATTTTTGTTCCAGGACACTTATATGCCACGTTAAAGGTATTAAAACCTATAAATAGAATAAAGAATTAATGATATAACAGTAAACCTTCATTGCCATGTAGACATTTGGCCACTTCGCAGTTCAATTAGCCATGTTGAAAGTCAACAAATACTACGTGAGATTGCTTTTCAGAGGTAAAAAACCACCTCTCTCTGATAATATGATCATTTTTTTAAATCAAAACTCAAGGATAATATGTCAAATTCTGAAACATGGCTCCAGCTTCGTGGATGCAGATAAATTCAGCTAAGGGGATGATAATTTAGGAATTAAGATTCATGGACATAATTAGGTAAATAGCACCACTTGATGCTTTTTATATTAAGCCTCCTGAGCTATGCTTACAATATATTAAGCTTCTTTCATAAATCAGATCCTTTTAATATTGTTCATACACACAGCATTATGAAAAAGGCACCTGAAATACTTACACCATAAATACTAGTGAGACCCAAGATATTTCTACACCCACATTTTAATGAGTTATAGTCCAAATGATGATGTACAAATAAGCAGCAACATCATAACTCTGATACTAACACTATGACCTTACATGGCCGGCAAAGAAGACACATTGCAAATCTGCTGTAACGTATTATATTGCGTAGTTGTGGGTAATCTGCTTTTGACTGGAAGTTATTTGAAATTTTACTGACAGAAATAAATCACTAAACCAGACTGTGGGACTTGCATGTAGATAAACAGTAGTACTTAATACCCAACAGTGAGCAGACTTACAGGAAGAACTCATTTGTGGGATTATACTCACCAGTGACTCAATATATAGAATATGTCTATTTATTATAATTATTTTTGCTGCTACCAATACTGACTTTCATCTCTTTTGTCTGTCAGACAACGATTTCTTCACTTCCAAACACAAATTTAATTGTGGGACGCTCAGAAGACAAGTAATTGTGATTAATAGAGCACTCCATTTTTCTGAATTTATAAGAAGC